TTTTTTTTTTTTTTGTTGTTAGTTTTATTATTGCTTTTTAATTTTTTAATACTATTTAGAAAAAACAAATTCGAGACATATTTCCATCACTAACTATCGTAAAAAGCAGACAAACTAAATTCAGCTCTGGCATTGAGGCATTTTGTTAACATCTGGCAAGTGAATGCTTTTTAGGAGTGAAAAATTTTTAAGAGTTAAACCAAAAATCGTTTAACGTATTTAAATCTTCTGAAGCAATAAAAGAAGGGACTCGGGAGAAGGAAAGCGATAGATGAGGGAGAAGAGGGTGAAAAAATTGGCTTGATTATGATGTTAGATTTGGGTCTGTATAATCGTTGATTGCTTTTTTCGTTTTCGTCTTTTATTTTAGTATTGGCTTTTGGCTTGCTGTTCTGTTTTATGACTAGTTACACAAAAATTTTTCTTTTTATTTATTACATGCTCAAAACGAAAAAAGAAAAAATGGCAAAAAAAGAAAGAATAAATTTTTTGAAATTTTATTTTTGGTTTTATCCATTCATTATGTATAAAACATATGCATACATATTGCAAGCAAAAAAAAAACATCATCAACACCATCATCATCGTCAACATATGCTTACCTGTGCGATTCTCCTCTTATTTTTTTTTCATCCATAGTACATTTTGGTGGCTCAGCCATTCTGTAAGAGTTTTTTTTTGTTTCTATTGTTTTTTGGTTTATCAACAAATGTCAGCTGAATTGATGCATTGTTTTCTGAAGTGTAATAGTGAAAACAAATCTATATTTTTAGAACTTTTTTGACGCTTTTTAGAAGGAACAAAGAAGCGCACAGAGTGAGGATACTGAAAAGGAAGAATAAAAAACCGCACACACAGACACACACGTTTAATCTGCTTTAGCTATATAATCTTTTCTGGAGACGTTGTTTTTCAGAACAGAAAGCTGCTTAATAGACTATGCAATGCAAAACAAGAAAATATTGGATTAGTCAGATGAACAAATTTGTTATGTTTATTTGATCAGCCTACAATAGCAATATTACGTAGAAATATTACCTGGTGTTATAATCAACATTAGCAGCATATTTCAAGGTATTTGCTTATTTATCTGTCAAATTATCTAACTTCTAACAGTTATTATTTGTTCTACTGAAAGTTATATGTAAATTCTGGTTTTCAAGATGGGATACAATTTGTGTGTTTTTGCCCTTTTTTTTACATTTTTCAGCTTTACATCACTGTTCTATAAACCTAAACATTTTTTATTGCATTTTAAAAACCTTTTCTCTTAATTGATTAGAAAAAAAAACTAACTTTCTTGTCATTTTTTTAGACTATATAATGTTAGTATATTAAATAAAAAATATAATCTACGTTTTTTGTTATGTATTTTTTTTCTTTTATTGTAAATGCTTTTTTTTTATTGGTAGCGGAATCTTATATCTGTAATTAGTTAACATTTGTTTTTATTGTTTATCGTCATCACAAATCAGTGGTGTCTAATCCAACAGGATTCATCCAGACACCTTTAAAAGTTTCTTTTCTTGTTAATTTTGAATAGAATGTGCCCAAGTTTGCAAAAAAAAAAAATTTTGACTACGACTGCAACAGCAGTAGAAACCAACAACAGCAAAAAAGTGTAAATTTTTACTTTGCTTCCAAAATTTGCCTCAAATATGTTTCTACATAGACCGAATTTGTGTCTATAGGATCCATTAAATGAATGAATGAAAGCAAGAAGAAGAAATAGAGAAAAGGGAGCTTTTCGATTGTGAATTAATAGTTAAAACTGAATATATTCAGAGAATCTAATGGCTGCATTTGATGATAATTTTTTGTGCATTTGCATTGCTGTTGTTCGTTTTAACTTCACTCGACGGTTTCTGAGCAATAGATACATATTTGATTTTCCACCTTCTTCACCAAAAATTGTCGGCAAAACAGAGATTTGGGTCATTTTATCACCAAAAAATATATGAAGAAAGGAAAAAATAAAACAAACGTAGTATCAAGTTCTATGTTTGTCATATCAGTTAACTATTTTTTTTTTCACTGCTATTTTTGGTGTTGTTTTTGTTGGTTAAACGTTTATTGTTCCATATCGATATCTTTTTTTTTTCTTGTAAATTGAACTGCCATACTGGTTTGTTACGTAATGCAGCAGTATGTTGTAAAAAATTTTGCTTCTTTCTAAGGTTTACATTGTTGTTGTTATTGTTTTTGTTTAGTAGAAAGCCTGAGAAAAAACTGGTTGAACAGGCACTATCAGTGAAGTTAAAATGTAGACCAGTTGTAAGCTGTATGCATAACTGTGATGAGGTTTCGTGACTTGCGGTGAAAAAAGACATAAAATTAGGGAAAGATTAGAGTAAGATTTATTAGTTGCATTCTACACCAGCCAATTTTATATTTGTCACATTCGGTCACTGAATGCTCAACTCTGTAAACGTCATTTGACTGACTCTGCAACCGTTGATTCTTCTTAAATATGCATATATTTTGGTGTACTTTAGCGTCTGTAAAAGTTGGTTTTTCTCCTTAACTTGTTTAAGCTCAAAATAACTAACCTAAGCTTACTTATATTTTTTGGCTGCAATTGAGTGGGAGAATGGGAAAAAGAGTTTTAAAAGCGTAAAATAATCATCTAACTGAAACATACATTTGCTCTGTTTCTGAGTTTTGCTTAACATAATAACTGCTGCACTTACCTCTTTTACACTTCAAATTTATTGATAAAAAAAACTTTACGTGCCCATAAGTTAAAAAAAAAAGCGTTCTTTAAATACTTTTAGACATTGCTGCAGTGTAGAAAAAAGTGAGGAAGAGGAAGAGAATAGATTAAGTCTTTTTACACCATTAGTAATACGTGTTTTTAATAATAATACTAATTGATGCGGCAACTTTACAGATAATTAAAAAAGCGTTTCAATTAATATATATTGATGCCAGTTGGTATTCCGGGCTAATGAACAGTGCGTTAGCGCTAAAAAATACACTAAATTGATCAATGC